AGGGGGCAGGGGGCCGCTGTGGTACAGGCTCTTCTCCCGGCCCCCCAAGCGGGTGTCGGGAGGGGCGGGCCCATCAAAGGAGGAGGGGGAGGAGGCTGGGTGGGGGCCCCCTGAGCTGGGATTGAAGGGGCCTCCCCGGAGGGAGGGGGTGAGGCGGCCGGAGGAGGAGGGGGCCGGTGGTGTGCTGTAGGGGGGCTCTGGTGGGGACGTGGTGGGCGGCGGAGGAATGTCCTCCGACCCAGGCACAGACAGGCTGCGGCTGAACTTCATGGCTGGGGGCGCTAGGTAGGGTCTGTCATCCTCTGCAGCCCCTGGGGGAACACAGAGGGTCAGGAGCAGACCTTGGGGGAGTGGGCCTCCTTGCTCCTCTATCCCACAGAACCACAATACTTAATGATGATGATGATAATGATACTAATAATAATGGCATACTAATAATACTACTAATGATGGCATAATACTACTAAGCGTATGCTAAGACTTTCACGTGGATTAGCCCAGCGCTTCCCCAACCAGCACAAGTCCCTTTGATACAGCGGTGAGGGTTGTGTACTGAACAACAGCAAACAGCAGAGGGAGCACAACCAGCTGCCCTCTAGTCGATTCCGACTCATGGCGATCCCATGTGTGTCAGAGTAGAACTGGGCTCCATAGGATTTTCAATGGCTGACTTGTCGGAAGTAGATCACTAGGACTTTCTTCGGAGGCAACTCTGGGTTGACTCGAACCTCCAACCTTTAGGTTAGCAGCCCACAGCTTAACCATGTGCACCACCCAGGGATTCCAGAGGGGGCAACCAAAAAAAAACCCAAACCCGTTGCCGTGGAGTTAATTCAAGGACAGAGTACAACTGCCCCATAGCGTTTACTAGGAGCAGCTGATGGATTCGAACTGCCAACCTTTTGGTTAGCAGCCGTAGCTCTTAACCACTGCGCCATCAGGGCTCCGGGAGGGGTGGTCAAGGAGGGGCTGAATTTCCTTCCCAAGCCTCGAGGGGGCGCCTTTTCCTAATTCGCACAAAGGCACACTATACGGTGGTGGTGGCTTGGGATGGGTAAATGTGGCTTGAGCTGGGAAGGGCTCTCGATGTTTTATTTGCGTTGTTATATATTTCTTTCAGTGCGTATTCAGAATAGAAATGTAAGTAGCACATCAAGCTTGTGATTTAATGGCTATAACTGTTCAGAATGAAACTAATGTTTACAAGTCAAAACCAAACCAAACCCGTTGCCATCGAGTCAATTCTGACTCATAGTGACCCTATAGGACAAGGTAGAACTGCCCTCCATAGGGTTTCCAAGGAGCAGCTGGTGGATTCGAACTGCTAACCTCTTGGTTAGCAGCCGTAGCTCTTAACCACTACACCACCAGGGCTCCAATGGTTACAAGAGGGTGCCCATATATAGAAAAATATTAGGTAAACGCTGAGACAGAAGCCCTGGTGGCACAACGGTTAAGCACTCAGCTGCTAACCAAAAGCAGATTGCCGCTCAGCAGGAGAAAGATGCGGCAGTCTGCTTCCATAAAGATTACAGCCTTGGAAACCCTATGGGGCAGTTCTATTCTGTCCTATAGGGTTGCTATGAGTCAGAATCGACTCGACGGCAATGAGTTTTTTGTAAATGATGAGACACAGGTCAAAACAAACAGTTGCCATCTAGTCAATTCTAATTCATGAAGATCCCATGTGTGTCAAGGTAGAACTGTACTACACAGGATTTTCAATGGCTGATTTTTTGGAAGTAGATCGCCAGGCCTTTCTTCCAAGGTGCCTCTGGGTGGACTCAAACTGCCAACCTTTTGGTTAGCAGCGACGCTCGTTAACCGTTTGCACCACTCAGGGACTCTGAGATACAGGTACCAAAAAAAACCAAACCCGTTGTCATCGAGTCAATTCCGACTCATGGTGACCCTATCGATCTCATCAATGCAAGAATCACACTGGTGGACCGTGAACTTCCGAAGTTTAGGAAAAGCTGGATCCAATCAGCAAAACCACTCAGAGAGACTCAGAGAAGTTAAATCTTTTGCCTGCTTATCAATTGTCAGGGCTCAGTTCGTGACCCTCTTCTGGTCTCTAACTACTCACTCCCTTGAGGTTCTCAACCAGCATCCCAGTGTCACGGTTTTATACGCCACCTCTCTGCTGATGACTTCTCTGCCCAATCCTCTCCCCGGATCTCCAGGATCTTGTATCCAAATATCCACATCCTCTTAGATGTCTCACCAAAAAACCCCCCAAAAGACCAGATTACTGGGCTGAGAGCTGTGGGGACCATGGTCTCGGGGAACATCTAGCTCAACTGGCATAACATAGTTTATAAAGAAAATGTTCTACATTCTACTTTGGTGAGTAGCATCTGGGATCTTAAAAACTTGTGAGCAGCCATCTAAGATACCTCCTCACTGGTCTCACCCATCTGGAGCAAGGGAGAATGAAGAAAACCAAAGACACAAGGGAAAGACTAGTCCAAAGGACTAACGTACCACAACTATCACAGCTTCACTAGAGTGAGTCCAGCACAACTAGATGGTGCCCAGCTATCACCACTGACCGCTCTGACAAGGATCGCAATAGAGGGTCCCAGACAGAGCTGGTGAAAAATGTAGAACAAAAGTCTAACTCACACACACACACACACACAAAAAAAAAAAAAAAAAAGACCAGACTAACTGGTCTGACAGACTGGAGAAACCCCGAGAGTATGGCTCCGGACACACTTATAGCTCAGTACTGGTCACTCCTGAGGTTCACCCTTCAGCCAAAGATTAGACAGGCCCATAAAACAAAACGAGATTAAATGGGTACACCAGCCCCAGGGCAGGAAAGCTGGTAATGGGGAACCCAAGGTCAAGAAGGGAGAGTGTTGACATGCCGTGGGGTTGGCAACCAATGTCACAAAACAGTATGTGTATTAATTGTTTAATGAGAAACTAGTTTGCTCTGTAAACCTTCATCTAAAGTACAATAAAAAACAAACAAAACAAACAAAAAACCCAAAACCAAACCGTTGCCATCAGTCAATTCTGACTCATAGTGATCCCATGTGTTATGGAGTAGAACTACTCCATAGGGTTTTCTTGTCTGTAAGCTTTATGGAAGCAGATTGCCAGGCGTTTCTTCCACAGCACCACCGGATGGGTTCAGAATGCCAACCTTTCTGTTAGCAGCTGAGTGAAACTATGTGCCACCCAGGGTCTCCCTTGATGTCTCACCAAAACCAAAAAAAGCAAACCCGTTGCTGTCGAGTCGATTCTGACTCAGCAACCCTACAGGACAGAGAGAGCTGCCCCATAGGGTATCCAAGGAGCGGCTTGGTGGATTTGAACTGCCAAGCTTTTGGTTAGTGGCTGAGCTCTTAACCACTGCACCAAGAGGACTCTTGATGTCTCACAGGCACCTCAAATTCAGCAGGCCCCAAATCAAGCTCCTGATATCTCCCAAACAGGCTCGCTCCACCCCATGGTCTACCCCATCTCAGCAAACAGCAGCTCCTCCTCCTAGGTCCTCAGGCCCAAAAAGCTTGGAATTATCCTTGATGGCTTTTTTTTTTTCCTCACATCACCCACATCCAGTCCATCAGCAAATCCTGTTGCTTTAAAATGCATCCAAGCACTTCTCACCCTTCCACGGTCACCACCCTTGTCTACTAACCGTCAGTGCCCACCTGGACAGTTATCATCACCTCCTCTCTGGTCTCCATGCTTCAGCCCTCAACCCCCTCATTCTGTTCCCCACACGGCCACCAGAGAGCGCCTGTGAAAACCTAAGTCAGCTCATGTTCCCCCTCTGCTCATAACCCTGCCCTGGCTCCCTCCTTACTCAGAGTAAAAACTGAAGTCCTCACCGTGGCCCACAAGCTCTGAACCCTGTTCCCTCTTTGATCTCATGTCCCGCCCTCTCCCCGTCACAAACTTGGCTCAAGTCACACTGGTCTCCTTCTGTTCATCAAACATGTCAGGCACACACCTGCCTCAGCGCCTTTGCACTGGCTGTGCCCTCTGTCTGGAATGCCTCACCTCCAGGTATCTCCAGGGCTTCCCCTTCATCTCCAAATTTTAGCTGAAATCTTCCTCCTAGCACTCCCAATCTCCCCTTACTTTACTCTACTTTTTTTCTTTTTCTCCATAGCACTTACCACTGCTAACATGCTATATAACTTTCTTGTTTCTCATCTTTGTATTTTTTTGTTTTCTTCTGCTAAGAGAGAAGCTCCACATGGGCAAGACCCTTTAGTCTGTTTTTTCCCATTGATACATCCCTGGGAGTCTAAGACAATGCTTGGTATTTGGTTGGGAAAAAAATAAAATAAGTAGCCTTTGAGTTGGTTCTGACTCCATGTGCATCAGAACAGAACTGTGCTCCATAGGGTTTTCAGTGGCTGATTATTCAGAAGTAGATCGCCAGACCCACCAGCCATCTATCAGTTTGTCATATTGTGGTGGCTTGCCTGTTGCTGTGATGCTGGAAGCTCTGCAGTAGGGTCACCCATGGTGGACAGGTTTCAGTGGAGCTTCCAGACTAAGACAGACTGGGAAAAAGGCCTGGTGATCTACTTCCAAAAATTAGCCAGTGAAAACCCTACAGATCACAACAGAACACTGTCTGATATGGCACTGTAAGATGAGCCCTTCAGGTTGGAAGGCACTCAAAATACCACTGGGGAAGAGCTGCCTCCTCAGAGAAGAGTCACCCTTAATGAGGTAGATGGAGTAAAGCCTTCTGTACCTTCGTTTGTGGATGTGGTATAATTCAGAATGAGAAGCAACGGCTGTAAACATCCATTCAACAATGGGCTCAAACAGCAGTAATTGTGAGGATGGCACAGGACCAGATAACATTTCGTTCTGTTATACATAAGGTCACTATGAGTTGGAGCCAACTTGACAGCAACTAACAATCACTTCTGGGTGGACTCAAACCTCCAGCCTTTCAGTTAGTAGCCGAGCTCTTAACCGTTTGCACCACCCATATGGCAGGTACTTTATAAACACTGGTGGAATGAGTGAATGAATGAATGGAATCAGGTATAAGAGAGAAGGAACCAGGGTCTGTGGCAGAGGCTTAGAATCAATGCATCCAAGTAGGGGTGATAAACACCCTTTGCCGTCAAGTCATGGTAACCCTATAGGACAGAGAAAAACTGCCCCATAGGGTTTCCAAGGCTGTAATCTTTACAGAAGCAAGACTGCCACATCTTTCTCCTGCAGAGTGGCTGGTGGGTTCGAACCACCGACCTTTCAATCAGCAACCCAGTGCTTAACCACTGCGCCACGAGGCGCGATGACGCCCCCATTTTCTAGATGGGAAGCCTGAGGCCCAGAAAAGTGAAGCCACCTGTCTCGGTTCACACAGCTGGGAAAGGGAGGAGCCAGGATCAACCCTAAGTTTGGCCAGCTCCAACGCCTGATCTGTTTCACAACTTGATGACACTATAGTCCTGTATGGAAGTAGATAAGAACATTTCCAAGTCCCCTTACTCCCCCCTCAAAAACTGTCACCCTCCCAGGACATCATTAGGCATCCCCCCACATGCCTACATCCCTTTTAGGTGACATACCGATAGATTTTTGCCGGAGCATAAGCCCAGGTCCTGGGGGCAGGTACGAAGGACGTTCGTAACTCGGCTGGGAGCGGTGATGGGGATCAAAGCTCGACTTTGGGGTGGCAGTCAGAGGAGAGAGACAGAAAAGACAGCAGAGAAAGGTCAGTCAGGACGGAAAGATTCGTGGCTTCTTGGCACAACCACCCCCCATTCCTTCGCCAAGCTGGACTTTAAGCCCCTGCAGGCAGAGGAAGGAGCGTGAGGAAGGCAGAAGGGGGTTCAGGGGAAGGGAAAGGTTTCTGAGTCTGGACAAGGTAGAGGAGGAAAGGACAAGAAAGCAGATTATCAATCAGCCCTGTTTGCACTTCCAAAAACAAACCCATTGCCGCTGAGTCAATTCTAACTCATAGAGACCCTATAGGACAGAGCAGAACTGCCCCATGGGGTTTCCAATGAGCGGCTGGTGGATTTGAACGGCCAACTTTTTGGTTAGCAGGCGAGCTCTTAACCGCTATGCCACCAGGGTTCCTACGTTTGCACTACAGTACTTCCCAAACCCATTGCCAGTCTGTGCCCTTTTTGCCATTCCCTCTTTCACCACCCTTTCTCCATCGCTTGCCTGGTGTCTCTTCCTTTTGCCACTCTCTCTCTTTTTTAAATTGTTATTATTATTTTTTTGGTGGAAGTATACACATTTCAACAATTTCTACACTACAGTTCAGTGATGTTGTTTACATTCTTCAAGTTGTGCCAACCATTCTCACCCTCCTTTTCCACATTATTCCACTGTCATTATCTTAAACTCACTGCCCCCCAAGCTTCCCATCCAACCTTTCAAGTTGCTTCCCCAGGTGAATAGAGACCAATTATTGTACCTTGGCCTGCTGCTACTCTTGACTTCAACCTGGCCCCCTGTTTTCCACACAGGAGTCAGAGGGCTCTTTCAAAAACAAATTCAGGTTATGCCATTGCCTTGCTTGAAATCCTGCAGTAACATCCCACATCAGGTAGACCACTTGCTGTCAATTCTAACTCATGGTGTCCCCACGTGTGTCAGAGTACAACTGTCCCATAGGGTTTTCAGTGGCCGATTTTTCAGAAGTAGATTGACAGGCCTTTTTTCCAAGGTGCTCTGGGTGGACTTGAGCCACCAACCTTTCAGTCAATAGCTGAGCGCATTAACCGTTTGCACCACAGGAGGTACATCAGCTAGAACTAGTTGACCAGTTGCTGCTGAGTCAGTTCTGATTCATGGCACTCCCATACGTGTCAAAGTAGAACTGTGCTCCATAGGGTTTTCAATGGCTGATTTTTTTTCGGAAGTAGATTGCCAGATCTTTCTTCCAGGGCATCTCTGGATGGATTTGAACCATCATCCTTTCGGTTAGTAGCTGAGGGCCAACTGTTTGTGCCACCCAGGGACTCCTGATGCTCTAAAAGCATGTGTCAAATGAACAAGTGGTTGAATGAGAACAAGCTAACTCAGGCACTCCTGGGCCCTGACTCCCCAGCTTCTGCTAGGTGACCCGACATATCTCCCTTCTCCACTTCTGGCCTGAGACCAGAAGTGCGGAGAAGAGAAACACCCTTAGGATGAAATCTAAGCATGTAAGGCCCTTTCGTGTGTGACCCTCACTGCCCTCATCCCCCCAACACACCCCTTCCTGCCCCCTCACTCTACAGCCATTCACAACCATTCACCGTACTTCTAATTCTCTGAGCCTCAGCATATGCTGTTCCCTGTGCCTGGAACATCCTTTCCCCATTCTCTACTGGGAAAACTCCTTGTCATCCTAGTCTTCCTCTCTGGCCCGGATGCCCTTCCGTAGGCCTATGCTGTCTGATTCAAATAAATTTATTTAAATTCAGATTTAAATTTAAACGAATTAAAGTTAAATGTTCTGTTCCTCTGTTGCACCAGCCACATTATACACTTGACTAGTGGCTTCCATAACATCCCTGGGTGGCGCAAATCTGTTGGCTCTCGACCATTAATCTAAAGGTTGGTGGTTTGAACCCACCTAGAGGCACTGTGGAAGAAAGGCCTGGCAATATGCTTCCGTAAAGACTGTTGTTGTTAGGTGCTTTCAAGCTGATTTCAACTCACAGCAACCCCATGTGACAGACTAGAACTGCCCCATAGGGTTTTCTAAGCTGTAATCTTTATGGAGGCGGGCCGACACAGTGGTTAAGAGCTCGGCTGCTAAACAAAAGTCTGTCAGTTCGAATTCACCAGCCGCTCCTTGGAAACCCTATGAGACAATTCTACTCTATCCTATAGGGTCGCTATGAGTCGGAATCGACTCGACAGCAATGGGTTTGGTACGTATGTGTTTAATCTTTACAGGGGCAGAACGCCAGGTCTTTCTCTTAAGGAGCCGCTGGTTGGTGGGGGTAGGTCAAGTCAGTGAGCGCTTAACTGTTGCGCTACCAGAGCTCCTTCCATAAAGATTAAAAATCCTGTTGCCATTGAGTCAATTCTGACTCATAACAACCCTATAGGCTACAACTCTAAAGGCTACAGCCTTGAATACCCTATGGAGCACAGTTCTACTTTGTAACAATGGGGTTGCCATGACTCAGACTTGACTTGACAGCAACGGGGAGTGGCTACTATATGCCACAGAGAAGCTGTAGAACCCTTCCATTATCACAGAAAGTTCTAGACCTTCACAGGGGCTGTGCCACCCCTCTCACTGCACTCCCCTCCCTGGACTGCGACTGTCCACATCTGTGTTTATGTCATCCATTTGTTTCACAGAAATTTACCGAGCACCTGTTCTGTGCTAGGGACTGTTCTAGATGATGCAGATACATCAGGAAACAAAATAGACAAAAGCCCCTGCCCACACGAAGGGCAGGCAGGCCATAAACAAAACAAATTAGTAAAACAGAACATGGCTTAAACAGAGGTAAGGGCCAGGAGACAGGGACAGTATAATTTAAAATAAGGTATTCCCAGCTACCATTACTGAATGTTTTGATCAAAGAGTCTATAGAAGAATCCTGATCAAAAGGAGGGAAAAGCAGAACAGAATTTCAAATTCTCATAGAATCCAGACTTTTGGGAGCCATGAAGGCTGAATGAACCCCCGAAACTATTACCCTGAGATAATATTTAAACCTTAAACCAAAAATATCCCCTTAAATCTTCTTAAAGCCAAACAATAACTTAGCTTAACTAGTAGAGAATGTCTGCCTTGAGTATCATGCTCTTTTAAGAACTATCTACATGGGATTCAATTGACAACAGCAACTAGCGAAATATTAGATAGGAAGCTTAGGGGGCAGTGGGTTTATGTTAACGGTGGAAGAACAACTCAGAAAAGAGGGGTGAGACTAGTTGCACAACTCGAAGAATGTAATCAATGTCGCTTAATTTGTATATGTAGAAACTGTTGAATTGGTGTATGTTCTGCTGTGTATATTCTCAACAACAACTAAAATAAACTATATTATGGAATAAAAAGGAAATAAGATAGTCAAGGAAGGCCTCACTGAGAATGTACTTGAACAAACACTTGAAGGAAGTGAAGGGAACTATGTAGATATCCAGGGGAAAAGTGTTCCAGGCAGAGGGAACAGACAGTGCAAAGGCCCAGAGGTGGGAATGGGCCTGATTTGCTCAAGGAATAGTAAGGAGGCCAGTGTGGCTGGAGCAGGTAAGCAAGTAGGAAAGATGTGGGAGATGAGGTCAGACATGGTAGAAGTGTCAGATTGCCTTCAGATTTCCGCTCCAATGTCCCCTCCCTGGAAAGGCTTCCTCCTGCTACTCTACATTATAACTTCTTTCACTTACTACAGTTTGGAGCAATTATAATTATTTGCTTGCTTGTTTATTGCCTGTTTTCCTGGAAAGACAGCCTATCCAATACCCATTCTACCCTTCTTCCTGGGTAAGAAAACTCAATCTTATTTGGCACCTATTGCAAGACTGGGTGGTGCAAATGGTGAATGCATTCAGATGCTAACTGAAAGGCTGGAGGTTCGAGTCTACCCAGAGATGCCTCAGAAGCAAGCCCTGGCAATCTACTTCCAAAAAACTAGCTATTGAAAACTCTATGGAGCACAGTTCTCCTCTGACACACATGGGGTCGCCATGAGTTGGAATCGATTAGAGGGCAGATGATTATTGAAACACTACGTTTCTCAGCCTCCCTTGCAGCTACGTGTGGCCATGTGACTAAGGTTGGCCCAGGATGCAAAAAATGTAAGTGTTGTGTGTTACTTCTAGAAAGTCCCATTAGAGAGAGCCCAGGAAGCAGGAAAATGCCCTCTTTTGCCTTTTTGCCTTTCCACCCTTCCTTGTCCCTACTACCTGGAATGTTAATGCAACAGCCAGAGCTCCAGCAGCCATCTTGGACTATGAGGTAACCTTGTGGTCAGAAGCAAAGCAAGAATGGTGGAGCAGAAGGGGAGAAAGATCCTAGATCTTCATAACCTGCATGGAACACCCTACCCCAGATTTCTTCCACATGAGAGAGATACAAACATTTATCTTGTTCAAGCCAGTATTATTTGGGAATTCCTGTTATGTACAACCCAATTCTGCTCTATTTACCTACCAAAATGTAAATTATCTAAGGGAACTGACCTTGTTTGACTGGCTCACTCTTACACCCCCACCCCCAGAGCCCAGCAGCAGATCCAACACACAGTAAAAACCAAAAAACCCAAGCCCGTTGCCGTCGAGTTGATTCCAACTCATTGCGACCCTATAGGACAGAGCAGAACTGCTCCACAGGGTTTCCAAGGAGCGCCTGGTAGATTCGAACTGCTGACCTTTTGGTTAGCAGCCATAGCTCTTAACCACTACGCCACCAGGGTTTCCATAAACACATAGTAGCGGCTCAACAAATATTCATACTTACCCTGAGACCAGAAGAACTAGATGGTGCCTGGCTACCACTACTGACAGCTCTGATCAGGGCCACAATAGATGGATCCCGACAGAATGGGATAAAAACATGGAGCAGAACTCAAGTTCTTAAAAAGTCCAGACTTACTGGACCAGTTGCGACTAGAGGACTCCCTAAGACTATTGCTCTCAGACATTCTTCAAACCTTAAACCAAAACTATACCCTGAGGTCATTTTTTAGCTAAATAATAGA